CAAACAAAAGACAGGTTCATTACTAATTCAAGGCCATTTGAAGATTTTGTTTTCATTATACAATTCATTCAGTTCCAGCTAAAGTTAAAACATTAAAAATTTAATCATAAACTCATTTGAAACTAGAAAAAGGAAAAAATACGGTGAAAATAAATTAAACCAAACTGCTTTATATAAAATTTTCGGCAATAGTCTTCATTACATCACCTATTGAGACAAGTAAGATTTAGTCCTGTTAACAGGTCTCATTTTGTCAGAAATACAATTTGGATCCAACTGTCTTTTGTAAATCAGTGAGCCTGCATTACGCTCTCATGACTAAACTTCTAAAATAAAAGCTATAAAATCTTTATTTGTGTGTGCATATGTATGTGTTTAGGTATGTTTATGCATAAGTACATATATTATATGTTGTGTCTGCATGATAAAATCTGACAGTCAGCCAGAGGTCTCTTAAGGAATTTTATTCAGATTGGATTAGAAAAATAAGCATGCAGATAAAATATATAGTAATTAACCTAAATGCCTTTTAAGTGATCTAAGTAATAATAAAGATCAGAATCATAAATAAATAAAATTGAAATTAAAAAAATACAAAAGATCAACAAACAAAAGTTTCTTTTTTTTGATTAGTTATACAAAATTGACAAACCTTTAGCCAGACTAAGAAAAAAAGAGAGAAGACTGAAATAAAATCAGAGATGAAGGAGACATTACAACTAAACCACAGAAATTCAAAGGATCTTTACAGAATACAATAAGCAACTCTATGCCAATAAACTGGAAAAACTAGAAGAAATGGACGAATTCCTAGACACATACAGACTACCAAGATGGAACTATGAAGAAATTCAAAACCAGAATAGACAAGTAACAAATAATATGATTAAAGCCATAATAAAAAAAAAAATACACCAGTCAAGTACAGAACCCAATGTCTTCACTGCTGAACTTCACCAATTTAAAGAAAACTAATACAATCCTACTAAACTGTTCCAAAAAATAAAGGAAGAAGAAATACTTCTAAACTTATTCTACAAGGTCCATATTATTACCCTGAGACACTAGCTGGGTTAGCTAATGGAGTGCTTGTACCACCCCTCCCACAAACACAGGTAGCACAACTAGCAGTTCCAAAAGTGACCCCTTCCTTTCCTATGAGGAGAGGAGAGGGAAGAGTAAAGAGAACTGTCTTGCATCTTGGACACCAGCTCAGTCACAATAGGATAGGGCACTGGGCAGAGACATTAGGTACCCATTCCAAAACATAGTTCTGGATGACATTTCTAGACACTCTCTGGGACAGAAAGAAGCCTGCTACCTTTAAGGGAAGGACCCAATTATGGCAGGATTCATTACCTGCTGACAAAAGTGTCCTTGAGCCTTAAATAAAGAGCAATGATAGCCATGTAGTATAGCATGGAACTTGGGTGAGACTCTGAGATATGCTGGCTTCAGGTGAGATCCAGCACACTCCTGGCTGTGGTAGCTAGAATGAGAAACTCCTCATTCAGCTTGAGAGAAAAAAGTAAAGACTTTCTCTTACATTTTAGATAACAGCTCATATGCAGGGGTAGTGGAGTTGGGGAAGGATGTAGGTAAAGCACCAAGGAAAATCTTGAGGTTATGTATTCCTTGGTTCTTGGACAGGATTTCTTGACCTGCCCTAGCCCAGAGGAGAGCCCACTCTCCCACCCACTTTCATGACTGTTGTTCAAGATAGTATTCTAAGTTCTAGCTAGAGCAGTAAGGCAAGAGAATAAAATACAGGGCATCCAAATTGGAAAGAAAAAAGTCAAAATACTTTGTTTGGACATAATATCATCTTATATTTGGAAAAGCCTAAAGATTCCACCAAAAAGTATGAGAACTGATATAAAAATTCAGGAAAGTTGCAGGATATAAAATCAACATACAAAATCAGTAGCATTTTTATATGAACAAGAAATCAAGAAATAATGCCATTTACATTAGCTACAAATAAATAAAATACCTAGGAATAAACTTAACCAAAGAAGTGAAAGAGCTCTACAATCAAAAATTTTAAAACATTGATGCAGTAAATTGAAGAGGATACAAAAAAATATGAAAATATATTCCATGTTCATTGACTGGAGGAATCGGTATTGTTAAAATATCCATACTACTACCCAAAGTAATCTACATATTCAATGCAATCCGTATCAAAGTACACATACCATCCTTCATATAAATTCTTTTAAAAATTCAAAAATTTATATGGAACCACAGAACGCTCAGAATACGCAAAATGATCCTAAGCAAAAAGAACGAAACTGGAGGAATCATATTACGTGACTTCAAAGTATACTACAGAGCTATAGTAACCAAAAGAGCATGATACTGGCATAAAAACAGACACATAGAACAATGAACTAAAATAGAGAACCCAGAAATAAAATTAAACATCTACAGTAAACTTGTTTTTGACATACGTGTCAAGAACATACATCAGGGAAAGAACAGTCTCTTCAATAAATATTGTTGGAAAAACTGGACATTTGTATGCAGAAGAAAGAGCTCTGTCTGTCACCATATGGACAAATCAAATCAAAATGGCTTAAAGAATTAAATTTAAGGCCTTAAATTATGAAGCTACTAAAAGAAAACATAGGGGAAACTCTGCAGAATGTTGGACTGGGCAAAGATTTTTTGAGTAATGTTTTGGAAGCACAGGCAAACAAAGTAAAAATGAACTAATGGAAACACATCAAGTTAAAAAACGTATGCACAGCAAAGAAAATATTCAATAAAGTGCAGAGACCACCTACATAATGGGAAAGAATATTTCCAAACTATCCATCTGACAAGGAATTAATAACTGGAATATATACAGAACTCAAAAAACTCAATGCTGAAAACTATTAAAATCCAATTAAAAATGAACAAAAGATCTGTACAGACATTTCTCAAAAGAAGACATAGAAATGCCAATCAAAACTACAAAGAACTATCATCTTACCCCAGTTAAAATGGCTTTCATCCAAAAGACTGGAAACTACAAATGCTGGAGAAGATGTGGAGAAAGGGGAACTCTCGTTCGCTGCTCATGGGAAAGTAAATTAGTACAGTGTACAGAAAACAGTATGGAGATTTTTCAGAAATCTAAAAATAGAACTACCATATGATTCAACAACCCCGCTGCTAGATGTATACACAAACAAAAAGAAATCAGTTTAGTGAAGAGATATCTGTGTTCCCATATTTATTGTAGCGTGACTTAAACTAGCCCAGATTTGGAAGCAACCTAAGTGTCTATCAGCAGACAAATGGATAAAGAAAATGTGGTACATATATGCAATGGAATACTTTCCAATCATAAAAAAGAATGAGATGCTGTCATTTTCAATAACATGAATGGAACTGGAGGACATTATATGAAGTGAAGTAAGCCAGGCACAGAAAGAAAAACTTCACATGTTATCGCTCATTATATTGTATGACATAACAATAACTAAATACCCTTGTAAATTTCTAATTATAATGAAACTCCATCAGATAAAAAACTATGACTTTTCTAAGTCTCTGTCATCCAGTTATCGTTTCGAATTCTTCTATGAAGTTTTCTGAAATCAGATTCATAGAAAGGCTCTAACAAATATTCTTAAGAATTGGTTTCTAATTACTTTAAATGGGCCCAATCAAAATTTTCCAAAATTTTAATCAAGAAACTGATAGGTTCATAAAACTCCTAATAAAGATCAAGCAAAAGTAGAATTATTTACATTAAATTAAATAACTGATGACCCAGTGCTTTGGGAGGCTAGGTGGGAGGATAATTTGAGGCCGAGAGTTTTATATCAACATGGGCAGCACAGCAAGACCCCATCTCTGCAAGAAATTTTAAAAGTTAGTGTGGTGTGGTAGTGCATACCTCTGATCCTACCTGCTCAAGAGGGTGAGCTGGGAGGATCCCTGGAGTTCAGGAGTTCAAAGCTGCTGCAGTAAGCTATGACTGTGCCACTGCACTCCAGCCTGGGCAACAGAGTGAGATCCTGTCTCAAAAATAGCTGACGATAATATTTTCATGTATTTGATTTGAATCAGTGTTGATTCCTTTGTTTTTTATTGTTGTTGTTTTCCAGGTTTAAGGAAACTTCTTCTCTAAAGCTAGCTATAGTTTACAACAATTTAAGAAACTATGCTTTTGTGAACAAAGTTGAGAACAGTTGTATTTTACTTCTTTCAAAATTCAAAAATAATTCATGAGTATTATTATGGCATTATGGTTATTTACATAAGTTCAACTAAAAATTACTTTTTCTTTACAACAGGACATAGTTTAAACCATTGGTTATATTACCAAGGGTCTTACTAAAATATTGTATTTGAGAATGTGCATAGAATGCTTGGTTTTAAGAGTTCCCAGATTTACAGTGAGTGAGTAAAAACCGTCACTTCCAGGCAGGCCCAGGAACCTTAAGAAGGTAGGTAAAATGTAAAGTTAGCCTTGGTCCGGCTTCCTAGCCTTAAGAAGTGATATGATTTGGCTCTATGTCCCCATGTCCCCATTCAGATCTCATCTCAAATTGTCATCCCCATGTGTAGAGGGAGGGACCTGGTGAGAGAGGTGACTGGATTATGGCGGTGCTTTCCCCATGCTGTTCTCATGACAGTGAATGACATCTCATGAGATCCGATGGTTTAAAAGTGTTCGCATTCCCTCCCTCTCGCTCTCTTTCCTGCTTGTGAAATGTGCCTTGCTTCCCCTTCTGCCTTCTGCCATGTCTATAAGTTTCCTGAGGCCTCCCAGCCATGCAGAACTGTAAGTCAATTAAATCTCTGTTCTTTATAAAGCATTACCCAGTCTTGGGTATTCTTTATAGAAGTGTAAAAATTGACTGGTACAATAGGTTTTTTTTTTTTTTAATCTGAGATATCTACGTAGTCAAATCACTGCTCTTGCAAACAACATTTGATAAAACTAATTTTACAAACAAATTTACCTTACTCTAATTTTCTTCTCTATATTTTTCATTTAGATCATATACCTACAAGTATGCAAAAGAAAATAAACTAAAATTTATCTACTCAGAGAAAAAACTATCTTGGGACATTTTCTTAAAGAAAACAAGTTAGAGTGAAGGTGTTGAGAAAATGGGATAATAGAATGAGTGAGCTTCAGCTGCTGCCCAGGAATCCTGTGTCATGCAAAGTGGTGCATAAATAAATGGTGGTAAGATACTGAGATGCTTATCTCCCCTACTTTCTACTTTCTCTTTTGCAACTAGACATCCCCTTGGATATAATTGCAGGTGACAATAAGACGAGATTCAGGTACGAGTAGCAAAACTCCAGCGAGATGTAGAGGAAGTTGGGAGGAGGAGATATTTTCTGGCAAAGTTTTGACAGATTACCTTAACAAAAGGGTTATATTAACCAAATGCCATTGGCCAAAAAGCAGGTAGACTACATTCAACAAATGTATCATATTTGCAAAATAAGGAGGAAATAGTTAAAGCTCTGTATTCTTAAACACTAGTTTTTGTATGGTTTCTTTTAAAATTGGTAAATCAATTTTTTTTGTTTTTAATATATTTGGATTGTACACTCATCAATAAAGTTCTCATAATCCGAAATCACTGACAAGTTATTAGAAGATATGGACAAGGATAGGGACAGGTCCCCAAACCAAATATGTAAAATTCAACAATATGTTTGACAGTTCAGCCATTTGGAATGAAACAAATTATGCTATGGTTATAATGTGCAATAACAGGGGGGATGAAGAGACCTGCCTCTTTATGTGTCAATTACCCTGAAATTCCACCATTGGACAAGTAAGTTCTATTTTCATATTATTTGTTTTTAAAAATGAAGTAAAATGGTTATGTTGGTATATTTCTTTTATTTTATAATAATTTTTAAAATATAATAAGATAAACTCTCCTTTTTGTATTTTTCAGAATTGTATTTACTTTTTTGGGCATCTATTTTTCAGTATGAATTCCAACATAGTTTGTCATATTTTGTGAAAGAAAAATCTAGTTGTGATATTGATTGTAAGCATATTGACCTTGTAGATTAATTATGAGAGTATTGACATTGTTTTCCTTATCCATCTTTCCATTTACTTGCTCAGTTTATTAAGGTATTTTTCTATTAATTTTATTTACCTTTGGTAATTTTCTCCTTTTCAAAAATGGACACTTTCAGTTGACATTATTAAATGAAATATTCAATTACAACTGGATGTTTCTAATACAAACTGAGATAGTTATTTAATACATTCTTCATTTGATTCTTATGATGTTTATATATTTTAAAAGGTTTTCCTATCACATATGTACATTTACTTTTGTGCTAGAAAGTTCTTGTTCAAATGAGATTTTGGGAATTCAAATACTTTAATGATAAAAACATCATTTATCAGAACTAGTCAATTCCTAGATAAACACTTAAGATGCTCTATTTAAAGAAAGGGTGCAGGAGATGATACTGTATATATTCTTTTGAAACTTGCCTTTTCCTCTTAGCAATACACTATGAACCTTTTTTTAACACTCATTATAAATTCTACATCATTTTAAAGTTTGTACAATATTCCATTATGAGTCCCTTGATTCTTTGAAAGATTTTTGATCATCAAAATTTCTATATTCAAATACAAAAGACTGAAGGAGCAGAAAATCTTCAATCATTATCAATAAAAAGTTTATCTTAGCTGTAATTATCAGATTTTTTACAATTGTGACTCTGGCTAGGAATAATTCTCGGAGAATGCCACTTAAGGTAGGTGCCTAGGCAAAAGCAGAGCAGGAACACGGCACAGGCAAGGAGGTTAGGAAAGGGAGCCAAACAACAGAATCCACTTCACTATTTCAACAAGGAGCAACTTCACTTAGAGAGAGCATAGGTAGGAGCATGGAGCTGACCTAGAAATGAAGTACTGCAGCGAAGTGATATTACAGCAGAGTACACAGTCACCCCTGTTTATGTATCTCTGTTCAAGAATTTGTATACTTAGAAGCTGTTGAGCATCTAAAGCGTTCTGAAACTCCCCTCCAGTCTCAGTTTAACAACGTGAGCTGGTTTCCAGAAATACACAGATTTATCCAACTCACTCCCTTTTTCCTTGCATTCTTCTCTGCATGCCTTATATGTCTGGGGAAAGAAAGGGAGGAGGATATGAACAGAGTCATAGAAGGCATTGCAAAAGGTCATGGTTGCTAACCTTTATTTAGCATTAATAGGTGCACTTTTATGTACTAACTCACATAATTCTTACACCACTTACGACAATGACATGAAGTAAATGCAATAGTCATTGTATGCCATTTTATAATTAAATGCTTAAGCACAAACAGCCAAATAAATTATTTGAAAGCATATATTCTCAAGTGGCTGAGGCAAGTTGTCATCTAATTTATTGCCAATTAATTTATTCAACAAATAGTTGCATGTCACCTATGTTGCAGGTGTTATGCTAGGCATTGAGCTTAGAGTACTGAACAACAAAGTTCCTGCTTTCATGGATCAAAAATTCTGGTGGGAGCGGTCATCAATAGACAACTAAAACTATAATATGTCACCTAAAGTTAAGTCGTGCTAGGTACCAAGAAGAAAATAAAGTGTGGTGTCCCAAAAAGTAAAGAAAGAAAATGCCTAAAGACATAGCTTTCAAATGCTGTCAAATGCTGTGCTCTCTCATAAAGAGGGTAAAATTTAGCTTCCAAAGGGAACGCTGTGAAAAAAGTGAACAATTGTGAGTGAGTATGTCTTTTTCAAGCCACTAAAACTATGTGAGGAATATTCCTGAAGAAGAACTTGGTGAGAATAAGACTGGATGGCAGCCAGGGCCAGATCAAGATGGGCTATAGATGCTGGCTACAAATTTAGGGTTTACTCTCAAGGCCAGAGAATAAATACACTTAGCATTTTTTTTTTTTTTTTTGTGTCTCACTCTCTTACCCAGGCTGGAGTGCAATGGCGCGATCTCGGCTCACCGCAACCTCCGCCTCCTGGGTTCAGGCAATTCTCCTGCCTCAACCTCCTGAGTAGCNAATCTCGGCTCACCGCAACCTCCGCCTCCTGGGTTCAGGCAATTCTCCTGCCTCAACCTCCTGAGTAGCTGGGACTACAGGCACGCGCCACCATGCCCAGCTAATTTTTTGTATTTTTTAGTAGAGACGGGGTTTCACCATGTTGACCAGGATGGTCTCGATCTCTTGACCTCGTGATCCACCCGCCTCAGCCTCCCAGAGTGCTGGGATTACAGGCTTGAGCCACCGCACCCGGCTCACTTACTATTTTTAAGGAAACAATTGACATAAAAAGAATTGCATTTTAAAAACAAAGCTTTAAGGGCCAAGAGGAGACTTGATTGGAGAGCCCTGGAGATACAACCAGTGATGATAAGTTATAGTAATCAGAGCCAGAAATAGTGAAGGTTCAAACTAATCCAGAGGCAGTGAAAACAAAGAGGAGATAAATGTAACTGATATTTAAAGGAAAGAATAGTAGGAGTTGGCAACTGATGTGACGCAAGTGATGAGGCAAAGAAGGAACAAGAATGTCTTCCAGGTTTTGAAAAATACGTAAATAGCAATGCCATTCACCGAGAGAGGCCACAGCATCAAGAGGAGATAACATTCAATTTCAAAAACATTTAATTTGGAGTCATGTATAGGATATTTGTATGAATGTGTCTATGGATTATGGAGTATGGATTATGGAGAATTTGAGCTAAGGAAAGAGATACATATATTGGAAATTTAAATGATCTAGAAGTATGTTATCAGCTAAATGTTGGTACCACCCCCTTGCCACAATTTGTATGTTGAAGCCCTGGCCCCCATTATAATGGTATTTGGAGGTGGGACCCTTGGGGGTTAATGAGGTTTAGATGAGGTCATGAGGGTGGGGCCTCATGATAGGATTAATGCCCTTATAAGAAGAGACACTATATAGCTTGCTCTCTCTGTGTTCTTAAGGATACAAGAAGTCAACAGTATGTAAGCCAGGAAGAGTTCTCACCAGAACTCAACGCTGCTGACTCCTTGATATTGGACAGCCCAGTCTCTATAACTGTGAAAGGTAAATACCTGTTGTTTAAGCCACTCAATCTATGGTATTGTGTTATGGAAGTTGGAGCTGATCAATACTGGGTAGTTAAAACCAGAGAAGTGAATGACATCATCTAACAAAATTGTGTTTAAGTAAAAAGACTTGCACAAGAAAAAACATCTAGGAACAACATTAAAACGAAGAGAAAGCTGAAAAGTTCATGAATAAAACCAAGTAAGAATGATCAAAGGCACAATAACAAAGATTTGGAGACAGAGTCATAGGAGTCATTCCCTGTCACCCAAGCATAATATGCTTCGCGTGATATCACATTCCCAATACTGTAGCACTATCACAATTTAACATCTAGAAGTCACAGAAAAAAATAAAGTCTGAAATTTGATAAAACAAAAACATGACAATTTAGGAACTTAGCTTTGGTAAATGTAAAATATGCTTAATTTGATCTTTGATATTATAAACATTTAAAGTTTTACATCAAGGTAAACTAAAAAGAGTGAAATGCTATGAGTATATTCACTTGGAGACATTTATCTCTATTTTTCATATTGTATCCCATCCTACATTATTTGTTTTGCTTGATACCTCTGCGGAGTGGAAGGTGAAAAGTCAGTGGCAACCTATTTTGGAAACTGGAGAAAAAAATACTTCAGAAAGAAAATACAATCAATATTTTCAAATGCCATGAAACAGTTTTACGGTAAGTATTGAAAAGCAGCCATTAGATATAATGCTGAAAGGGGATTAGTAGCCTTATAAAGAACTGTTTCAATATTGTGCTTGGAGGAAGAAATGATCTGTAGAACAGTGAAATTAAAGTAGATTCAGTAATAATTTTGTTGTGAAATACTGTAGACAGTGATACAGAGAATGTAGACAAAAATATCCAAGTATCAACCAAAAAGAGTGAAAAGAAGCAATAGAGAAAGATGAAGGAATAAAAATAGTACGGTTTTTTCATTTTTTTTTTAATATTAAAGAAACTAGTGTATATTTATATGCGGAAAGGAAATGAAGAAAAAAGTGCTGCGGGCTCAAGCTGGCAGGCCCTGCCTGGTGAGGAACAGTGATGAAGGCAGGGCCACAGTCTGTCTACCCCAAAAGAAGCTATCAACAGAGTAAACAGCCTACAGAATGGGAGGAAATATCTGCAAAGTATACATCTAACGGAGGTCTAATATCCCGAATCAATAAAAAAAAAACTTAAGCAATTCAACAAGCAAAAAACAACCCCATTAAAAGGTAGGCAGAGGACATGAACAGACACTTTTCAAAAGATGACATACCTGCAGCGAACAAACATGAAAGATGTTCAGTACTACTAATCATCAAATAAATGCAAATCAAAATCACAGTGCAGTACCATCTCACACCAGTCAGAATGGTTATTATAAAAAGTCAAAAAATAACAGATGCTGGTGAGGCTACATTGAAAAAGAAATGCTTATACACTCTTGGCAGAAATGGAAATTAATTCAGCCACTTTGGCAGGCAGTTTGGAGATTTCTCAAAGAACTCAAAACAGAATTACCATTATGCCTAGCAATCCCATTACTGGTTATATACCCAAAAGAAAATAAATCTTTCTACCAAAAAGATCCATGAACTTGTCTGCTCATTGTAGCACTATCCACAGCAGCAAAGACGTGGAATTAATTAGATGTCCGTCAATGGTAGATTGGGTTAAGAAAGTATGGTACATGTATACCATGGAATACTAGACAGCCATTAAAAAAGAATGAAGTTGTTTTATCCTCAACAACATGTATGCAGCTAGAGGCCTTTATCCAAAGCAAATTAACACGGGACCAGAAAATCAAACACCACATATTCTCACTTATAAGTGAGAGCTAAATATTGGGTACACATGAACATAAATGTATGAATAACAGATCGTGGAGACTACTATAGCAGGGACAAAGTGTGGGGAGCAATGGTTGAAAAACTGTTGGGTACTATGCTTCACTACCTGATTGACAAGATTAATTGTACCCCAAACCTCACCATCATGCAATACACCCAGGTAACAAACCCGCAAATGTACCCTTTGAATTTAAAATACAAGTTGGAATTATTTAAAAACAGGAAAATAAAAGTGAGTGAAAGGAAAAGCAAGACAAAGAGGATAGTTATCTGAGAGATGGCTTAGGAGTCAGGGTGCTAGAACTCATTGAAAAAGTAAAAGATTAGAACTTTGGTCGCTAGCGGGCCAGGATATATTGCATACTGATGAAATAACTCAGTATGCAATATATCCAGGACCAGATATAGGCCAAGAATTTTAATGGATTTTTTTTTACCTAATGGTTTTTATTTTCCTCCATGCAGAAAAAGGATAGGTGAAGAGTTAGTTTTAACAATGAGTAAGGGCACGTGTAGAATAGTGGCCTTGAGAAGGCTGAAAAAGCTGTCTGGGTGCATGAGTGACAGAGCTAACTAGAGCCACTGTGGCAAGCAGAATTCCAAATACAGCTGCCTTGTGATTTATTTGCTCTGGTTGTTCAATCAAATATGAATCTTGGTACCCCTGTGAAGGGATTTTGCAGATATAATAAAAGTCGAAATCAGTTAACCTTACGATACAGAGATTATCTGAATGGGCCTGGTTTAATCAGATCAGCCTTCAAAATCAGGGCGTTTTCTGAGCTGGTGGCAGAAGAGGAAGTCACAGATATCTGAAAGCATGAGAAAGTTTCAGCATGTCATTACTGACTGTGCAGATGAAAGGGGCCACATAAAGAGAAATGCAGGTGATCTCTAAAAGCTGAGTCACTTCAAGCAAATTGCCAGCAAGAAAGTGAGGTTTCAGTCCTACAACTGCCACCAGCAGGCTTCTCCAAACAATTTTAATAAACTTGGAAGCTTTTTTTTTTTTTTTCAAAGCCTTTAGTTCAGAGACCAGGTTGGGCTTTATGAAACTCTAAGCAGAGAGCTCAACCAAGCCACCCTGAACTTCTAATGACAAGAACTGTGAAATAATATGTGGGTATTGTTTTTAGTGATTACGTTTGTGATAATTCATTACACAGCAATAATAACTAATGCAGCCATATTATGGTGTTTTTCAGATGAAGCTGAGGTCCGTTGATCTATATTTATCTCAAACAAATGGTTTTATCTGGGATCCCTCATCTGCAAATCAGTAACAGTGGGGAGCTGGATTGATTCAGACTTTAACAAGTGGGGTAAGTGGAAAGAAAGGACAAGGTGAAGAGATCAAGAAACACTAAAATGATGGCGTTGGATTTGACGCTGGCTAAAGAAAGAATACGAGTTAAAAGTGAAATGGTAAAAAGTAAAGAAGAATGATATTTTAAAGGGCTTTTGCTCCATAAATCAGTCTATCTGAAGAGCAGGATAATGAGAGTGACAACTCTGGGAAAAAGAAAGAACAGGGTGCTTACTGCTCTTCAAGATTTCAGAAATGAAACAATTATTTGTGTGGCCTTAGATTTAAAAAGCTGGTGCAGAGCAGAGGGGAGGGACCCTGGGCTTATGAAGTTAAAACATGGCAAGGCTTACATGCTGTAAGACAAGGATCCTGAAGTCTCCTGGTCGTTAGAAAAGAAGACAATGTACAAGTGGTAAAGGGGTGAAGAATATTTCTAGCTTCAGGAAAGAAGGTGGCTTAGCCTAATGACATAACTTTAAAAGAAAAAATTTTATTGGAAAAGTGACAGAGCAGTGATTTATATGTGACATAGGAAGTCAGAAATGTGGTGTTTCTAACTTTGGGCTTTTAGATGAATGAGATAGAAAAGAATAAGTGGCCTCTACTCAAGAGTATTACAGAAAAAGAATGTCATCCTCAAAAGAGACTCAGGTTCCACTTAACACAAGAAATGAAGAAAAGTATTCTATGAAGCATGGGAGGGTATAGTTAAATACAGAAAAAAACTTTAGAGGGCTAGAAGGAAATAAAATGTAAAATGGTATTCAAAATGTTTTTTCTTCGTTAAGCAAAATCTATGTAAATTCTCATGTCAAAGGAAAGAAGGATGGAACATAGGAGGGAGAGAGAGAGAAGGAAGAAAAGAAAGAAAATATCCAAACTTCTGACTTAGAATTAGTAATAATCCAAATGGAAAATAATTTTGCAGTAGATCCCTTCAGATACAGACAAATGCAAACTTATTGTGGTAGTTTTAAAATATGTCCATAAATTATTTGATACTCCTTTCTTGAAAAGGTAGAAACTCAGTCTCACTCCACTTGAACACAAGCTACACTTAATGACTTCTTCCCAACAAATAATCTATGGCAGACGTAGTGGTACATGACGTCTGAGACCACATCATAATACAAGGCACTATGGCTTCTTTTATTTTGTTTGTTCTCTTGGATCACTCAGTCTGGAAGAATATGGCTGCCATATCATGAGGACACTCAAGAAACCCTGTAAAGAGGTTCCTGTGTTGAAAAACTGAGGCCTCCAACCAGCAGCTATGTGAGTGATCCATCTTTAAATACAATCCCCTAGCCTAAATTAAGTTTCCCAGATAGCTGCAGTCACAGCCAAAAGGTTGAATGGGACACCATGAGAGAAATCGAGGGACAAACACCCAGCTAAACCGCTTTCAAATTCTTAACAGTCAAAACTTTGAGTGTGGATATAGATATCAAAAACAGTATGTGATAATTACATTTTTTTCTAATCTTTAAGTTTGGAGGTTATTTGTTACATAGCAATAGGTAACCCATACAGTCAAAAAAGGTAAATGGTGATACTTTCTAGTTTCCAAAGTCACTGTATGCTTAGGAGAAATGAAATCCACAAGCCAATTAGTCTGGGTATACAACAAAATCATTAAGAAGGCATTACTCATAAGATCTCATCTTTGAATGATGACTTCTAAAGCTCTCGTCTCACCACAGCCTGCCATTCAAGTCTGTATCACTGGCACACCATACAGAACTCCACTGCTAAATTTATCTTCTCATTAGGCCAGTCTTGAAAATGCACTTCTAAATGTATAGGGCGCTCACTGTAACCTCTTACATTGAGTTTCAACATTTCTTTCTAATTTAAAGGCTCTCAATTTCTAATGCCCCACTCAACCCATCTTGGCCTGTTTAGATTTATTTTCTATTATTTCTAACACTAATCCTATAAAACAACACAGGCCACCAGATTCACTCATCAAGGCTTTTGTCAATTCTATCTCCCCATCTCTCCCATCTATCTCATTCAACCAACCGCACTAACATCCATGGCTCACCTATTCCTCAAGGCTCACCTCCAGTTCTTGCTTCTTTAGAAGACCTTGCCAACAACATTTATCCACAAAAATCTCTCAAGTCAAATTCCTATTTCACTTACTAATGGTGTATTACAAAACAATAATAACTCATAATTGGATACTCTCCTGCCTCAGGTGGTTTGTACTATATAATTTGACATTTAACGATGTCAGTCAGTACAGTGATTCACTGGCATATATTATATTGCCTTGTTCACACATTGTTTCATATGTGTCTGTTCCCTAATCATATCATACATTCTTTTACTGAGAATCATAAAACACACTTTTCTTCTCTATATTTTCCACATCATCTCAGCTAGGTATATATAAGTCAAGTAACTGTTGTGCTGTTACTCTGTGTTGGGTTTTTCAGAGACTGTTATTTTTCTCTCCACTTACAGCCAAGGCACAGAACTAAACAACATTTTTTCGAATTCCTTGCATTTAGATGGGGCACTGTAACTAAGTTCTGGCCAGTAGAAGCAATACATGCCACTTCCAGATGTGTTTCATGAAAATCTCACACACAAGACTTTTCACTCTGTCTTCTATTTTTGCAGAAATCTGGAAGGACATTTAAAGGTGATATGGCATTAAGAACTTCATCTCTAAGTCACCACTTAGAGGAAACACACTCGACAATGTTACCCAAGCATCTGCCTTCCCAGTAGTATCTGGACTGGATTAATTTGTGGGCAAGAAGGAACTTTTATTTTGTTAAGCTCCTGGGATTTTGATGTTGTTTGTTATAGCTGCTAGCATCAGTTATTTCATTCAGAGATGGAACATGAAAATAAATAAGGCCCTACACTTGAGGAGTTCAAAGTATAGGGAGGCAATTGGGTTTAAAGAAAAAAAAAGTTTTAAGGTTTCCTGTTTCTAAACTCTAATTTACCATTCTAGTAACCTAAGTCTCGAAATGGAAGAAGCACAATCAATAACATTTTTATATTTGTTTTATTGCAAATGTGGTTCTATATATCCATCAGAACTAGACATGTATCCCAAAAATTGATACAGGTAGTCATAAAGCTTTATTAAAATTTATCACTAGAAATACTTGTTTTTATTTAGTAAATGTGACTTGATCTCACTATAAAAAACTAATAGTCTTTTCATCTTTGTTAACTATAGGAGATTGTTCAAAGTGGTGGGAGAAACTATAGAGAAAGGAACAAACCCTGGCCAACCAACGGATGAAATGAGTACTCAGACACAGGTATGCGGTGTAAGAGCAGGTAGGGGACAGCTTGGCTCTAGTAGCCAAAGTGCAGCAGTCCAGAAAAGCTGGAGCTGCTTACTTTTATTCACTGCAGGCACAAACGGGCTGCAAACGATGCAATCAAGTGCAAGGTTACGACCCTGAAGTCATAAGAATAGCTTTGAGTAAAAAACAATTGGAAGCTGTCCTGTCCCTCTATCTAGGCCTTCAGATAGCACTCTCTGATTATGCAGGCCATATAGAACATGCCCTTCCACTGACAAACGACTCCAGCTCTTAGCTCATGTTCCTGTAGTTATGCCTACAAAAGTAGTTCACTCCCCTAGACCTAACGCTTTAATGCTTTTCACTGATGGCTCTGGTAAAGATGGAAAAGCAGCTATCTGGTGGGAACTGCATAACTCTCTGTTGGTCTGAATTTACTAGTACTCAGAGCGCTGAGGTTGGAGCCCTAATATTGACTCTGGAAACCTTTTCCGCTCAGCCCATCAAGACTGTTAGTGACTCTGCTTACTGCATTTTTTTATTGCAAAAGCTTGAAACAGCCCTCGTTAAGTTCACTCTTGAGCCCACCCTATGTGCCGTTTCTTTAACTTCAGAATTGCTGATCGACATATACATCCTATTTTTATTACACACATTCGGGCCCATAGCTTGTCGCCCAGTCCACTAGTGTATAGCAATGATCAAGCAGATCTGCAGGTTGTGACATCACTGCTTGACCACGCTACCCAATCACATCCATTTTTCCACCAAATTTGGAGGCACTTAACTAAACAATTTCAACTCACCCAAAGACTAGCTAAACAAATTATCCTGCAGTGTCCAGATTGCCACCTCACAGGCACATCCCCTCCTTCAACAGGTGTTAACCCTACAGAACTAGAAACGAATAAGTTATGGCAAACAGATGTCACACACGTCCCTGAATTTGGAAAACTAAGATATGTACATGTATCTGATGATATCTATTTCCACCTAACTAGCACACATGCTCTTCCTGGAAAGTAAGTCCAATATGTTATGAAACATCTTCTCTTAACTTTTGCATTTATGGGGCAGCCCACTAAGATTAAAACTAATAATGGTCCGGCTAACACCAGCTCACAATTTCACCAATTTTGTCACACATGGGACATCCAACGTTCCACAGGTATCCCGTACAACCCGCAAGGACAGGCCATAGTAGAACATGCCCACTCCACACTTAAAAATATGCTCAGAAAACAAAAAAGGGAAAATAGGAGTAAGGACCTTGCAACACTATTGGCAAAAGCCTTATTTACCTTTAATGTCTTAAATTTAGATAATTTTAATCAGTTATAGAAAAGCAATTTGCAAAAATCGCTAAAGATATAAAATCTTTGTTTTTATGGAAAGATGTGAATAGTAATGTCCACATAATTGCTAACTTGGAGAAGACGATACGCTTGTGTTCACACTCCCTCAGGTCCTCTTTGGATTCCAACACAATACATCAAACCTTACCATGGTGTGGCAAGGACGCAACCCAGTACCACAAATGAAGGAAATGATCCTGCAGGACTTGTAGCCCTGGACAATATGGCTTCCTCAGATGACATAGGCCCTAGACATTACCTGGGGGATTCAGAAGAAAACTCAGGAGGCTGAGTGAATCCTGCTCCAGACACAAACACCATTCACTCCAGATAATTTGTTCCTTGCTATGCTGACTATTGTACATTGCAACTCTTGTAGTGTATTAACCTTTCTTATTCTCTCACTCTGCCTGCAGCGTGTACCTGCTACCCTCTATTTTGCCCATCTTCTAGATCCACCTTTTTTCTGCCCTGTTACTTGGGCAGACACCCCCTTCCCAGTCTCTAACAATGTCACTGATTGGCTATGAGGAATTAACATATCCCTGGTGGGGTTCCTCAGTAACAGGCCTATAGAACAATGTGCAAAAACACATCTCCTGGATAGACCCCCACTCCTGGGGGTCACTCTTTGATTGAAAACAATATTACTGATTATGCTTATGTTTGTCATGTTACCTACTGGTTCTAGGATGCAAAGCTGGAACACAAGCTGTAACCACTGCCCTTGTCAAGCCTGGTGCTGCGCACATCTGTACTCTTCAATTAACAAAACCTGATGGGAAAAAAAGAGAAAATGGGGAGATTTAGGAGATCAGTCAGAGTGGTGGGAGAAACTATAGGGAAAGGTGCAGTCCTTCTGGAAGGTCAGAAGGCACTGCAAAGCTCTGGGGAGAATCGCTGAAGGCAGCTGCTCTATAGCCCTGAGGGGGAGGGCAAGGAGTAGGTACAGTACAAGGGAGTGTAGGGGAATTTATCTTAACAGACTTGTTACTTACATTGTCCAGGAACTGACCTTCCATTATCCCTGCAAGTGACTGCTCCCAGAAAGGGGGAACAATAAATGTTAATTACCTGCAGATTGTATTTGCCTCAGGCTTTCAGCATTGTGCCTGCACTGAATAAAAGTAAGCAGCTCCAGCTTTTCAGGGCTGCTGCACTTTGGCCACTAGAGCCAGGAGTTCTCCTACCTGCTCTTACACCGCATACCTGTGTCTGAGTACTCATTTCATCCGTCGGTCGGCCAGGGTCTATGGGACAGACCTGGCAATTAACATTGATATACATGTCTGTCTATATCAATGTGCTCTTGCATTGCTGTAAAGAAATACCTGAGACTGGGTAATTTATAAAAAGAGGTTGAATTGGCTCACAGTTCTGCAGGCTGTACAAGTATGGTTCCAACATTAGCTTCTGGTGAATCCCTCAGGAGGCTTACAATCATGTAGAAGGGAAGAGGAGCCAGCATATCACATAGTGAGAGGGAGCAAGAGAAAAATGGGAGAGGTCCCAGACTCTTTTAAAGAACCAGATCTAAGTGAGCAAGAACTCAATTATCACCAAGGAATGGTGTCCAGTTATTCATAAGGAATCCACCACCTCCATGATCCAGTCACCTCCCACCAGACCCCACCTCCAATATTGGGAATCATATTGCAACATGAGATTTGGAGGGGACACACATCCAAACCGCACTATCAGTGTATACGTAGTATGTTGTGAAATAAAGTAGATGATACTGCAGAACACACATTTTCATGGTGATTTTCCTATTGTTAACTGTCTATTTGTATTACATGATTAAGCAGAAAATGATTTGGCTTTTAAAAATATTAAATGTTATATTAGTCCATTTTCACACTACTATAAATAACTGCCTGAGACTGGGTAATTTATGAAGGAAAGAGGTTTAATTGACGCACAGTTCCACATGGCTAGGGAGGCCTCGGGAAATTTACAATCATGGTGAGAGGTGAAGGGGAAGCAAGGCACATCTTACACGGCAGCAGAAGTGAAAGAGAGGGAGGAAGGAGCTACCAAACACTTTTAAACCATCAGTTCTCATGAGAAGTCACTCACTATAATGAGAACAATAAGGAGGAAAGCCTCCCCCATGATCCCATCACCTCCCAGCAGGTCCCTCATTCAACATGTAGGGATTACAATTTGAGATGAGATTCAGGTGGGGACACAGAGCCAGGCCATATTAAGTATCGTTGGTATGAAGCAGTGTTCTGAGGTCAAACTTTTTTGGAGTATATTCTATATGCTTTCATTTTTTGAAAACTTAAAATCATTTTGAAATGGGTCCTCTTATTCATGTCAGCTTAATGGTGACAAGGGCAGGGCCTACAAATTAAATCTGTCCTTGATCAGAAGGAAGAAAGTGAAACTAGGGATATTTGAGATGCAGCACATACCTGCTGTATGCTAGCATACGGCTGTCACGGGTCTTACACTGGGGGGAAAAAAAGACCAGGATTTTTATTTTAACCTTGAATTAGCATCACCTGTGGTATTGGTGGCTTATCTACCTCTAAGAACACTTATTAATTATAGGTAGAAATAACTCTTCTATTTATCAACAGTCAGGAAAGCATAATTTTACTCTCTTCTGTCAGAGAAGGCTAACATATTATTTAAAAGGTGATCTTTAAGCATGCAATGCATTTAGTCTGTGTCACGATAATTCCATGCCACAGATTTAGCTCTAACCATGCAATTTAATAACCTATAAGAATGTATCAGATTTGCATAAATTGTAGGTTATATATATATATATAAAATGTAAGAAATTTAAAATAATGTTTTACTGTGATCCCAGCTTTAATTGCTGTGTTTTTCTTTTGATTCAATTCTCATTCTTTTGGCTGTTCAATCTTTTTCCGAAAAGACCTACTATCTTTATAGTCTAGTGTCTCATTTTCATGTTCTAACATTATTTGATGTGTTCTATAATCCTCTAATTGTAAAAGTACTATATATGCGTGCATGTGTGTGTTTATGTACATACACACATATGTGGTGCTTTTCATTGCTGTAATTTTATTTCTTCTAAATATCCTTATATTCCATAAATATTTAATGTGTCCTCTATTTGCTTGTCAATGTGCCAGGTAAGCAGATATCCAAGGTGAACAATACTGACTTTCTCTGATTCCACAGAACTTACCATCTAGAGGAAGAATAGACACTAAAAAATTATATTAATAAATACAACTGAGTTTTATGATGTTATTATTGTTATCTCAAGGAAGCATTTTATTTGACCTAACTAGAGAGATCAGAGAAGAGCTTTCCCGAGGGTAAGGGTAAGTTACATGAAGAAGGGGCAAGAACATTTTGGAAAACTGTAGCAACAAATGTAAAATCCTGTGGCAGGGCCCAGAAAGGGACCCTGGATTTTCTGAAAGAGAGACACTCTGAGAGAAGAACAGAGAGTAAAGTAAATTTCAATATGAGTGGATACTAGAGCTGTCAGCTGGGGTCAAGGCAGGCAGGAGATAGCCCATATTAAGAAAATTAGTCTCCATTCTAAAAGCAACAGTAAGCCATTGAATAGTTTCAAGAGTAGGGTGGCATAGTTAAGAGTTCATTAGAAAGAAAATATATCTAGAGAGGTAGGGGAGGAAGCAAATACAGAGGTACCATCTCCCTGTCCAAATCACTAGTCATCTCTTTCTGAAGCAGGCTATAATCACCTCACAGATATGAATAAAAATCTTTACTTGACTGTGGCATCCATTATTATCCAAGCATCTCATAAATGAAAACCTAACTGGGTATCAGGCTCCCAGCTGGTATCCGAGTAATAGGAAGCCATCGTAAGTGGGTAGGGAGCAGCACGTCCCAGTGAATTGAAGAACAGTAAGTTTCCTCAAGAGAGCTATGGATCATTGACTGAAAGTTAATGTTAAGCTGCCCTCATGCCTGGAAGCAGGTGCATTAGCAAGGCCTCATTCCTGAGCTTTCTTTGGATGTTTCAAACCCTGCTGAGCTGATGGAAATGAAGTCCTTAATTTCAACTATGGTCATTAACCCCCTACTTTGTGTTTTTACAAACCATTAACATGTCATTTGTGTTCACTTTAAAGATAGGCTTTGTGTTCAGGGAGCTGGGGCTTCAGGGCAATGGACACCAAGCATTGAAGGGGAAAATGCACGACAAATCACAAGGACAAGGCTGTGCTGGTCACCTAGTACTATATATATATACATACACACACACACACACACACACACACACACATACATATATTATATTTATATATATATATCTCTCACCTGTGGTATTGGTGGCTTATCTCTAAGAACACTTATTAATTTTAGGTAGAAATAATTCTTATATTTATTAAGAGTCAGGAAAGCATAATTGTACTCTCTTCTGTTAGAAAAGGCTAACATATTTAAAAGGTGATCTATCTATATATATATATATATATATGTCTATGTATATTATATATATTTATTTAAAAGGTGATCTCTATATATGTGTGTGTATATATATGTGTGTGTGTGTATATATATATATATGTACCTTTTAAGACATATATATAATCTGTCTGAATAATGCAGATGACACTGGGATTACCTCTTGAACTATGAAAAACAAAAGCAAGAACACTAATGCCATCTAGTATGAGGAAACATAGTTGCAATATCTGAGAACCACCACATATCCGGTAGCCATGGCACAGTACAGCGCCAGTCAGGAGGAGAAACAACAACAAAAATTCTAGGAGATCTCTAGCTACATGTTTTACTTGAATGCAAAATGCAAGTTTAGGGTAAAATCATCAGATCAGTTAAATTCATCAAGGACTGATCAGGCACTCTACTAATCAATCTCATTCCTGCCCAAATGATCTTTTCAACTATATGTGCCTCATTGCTTTGTAATTACTGTAATCAAATGACTGCCCTCAGTGCACCTTCATATTCCACCCTTTGCCCAATTTGTTCCCTTTGTATTTTCCTTTCTTTCAGCCTTACAGTTAAAGTGCCTAAGTTCCACCTCCAGAAAGACTCCTCAGGAAGTAAAAGTCCAAGGAGAATAGCTTCTCCCTTGAACTCACCAATCGGTATTTAGCAGTTGTTCATGTACTCATTGCAATACTTTTATTATTTTATTCCTGTATATTATTTAGTAGTAAATCTCAATTCCCTAACTCAGTGCAAACTCCTTCATGTCAGAGACCTAATGGAATAATACATTAAGTGTGGTTTAATAAATAATGTTTAAGCTATTGGAGTCAGATGCAAATCAAAGCAAGCTTTTTGCTCTCATTGGTTTCAGTAGTGAAAATTTCATATGAAAGTCTTTAAATGTTAATTTTTATCTTATTTTTCTTGAGTAATTTAGTTTCCTAAAATAATGTTGCTAGCGAATTAAATCTTCTATGCCTGTATTCTGGCATTTCTGCAATTTAGGTATGCTCCTACTTTATATACAACTTCATATGTTTTTAAAATTTTATAATATTTGTATTTACTAATTTTAGTAATTGTAGAGGAAGAAAATAGAAAATGATCTTTGGTAGACAGACAACGGATCTCACAAATGATCCTGTTAATTGGGCTTTACTGGCTGCATATAGACTTTTGAAAATAATGTATTAATTTTATATCATATGAATATCTAAAATGAACATGCATAATTATATATGCACAAGAGGATGAGAAAAGAACAAAAAGGAAAAAAAAAGATGTGGTATGACAACTTAATAGCTATTAATACATTAACCTATTTTTACCTTGACAATGTATGTGATTTTTCTTATAACACATAAAAAAGCTCTACTCTCTTATAGTCTTTCCTATGAAGAATTTATCATTACAAGTATCATTTAATTTCACTTTTAAAATGTAATGAACAACAAAACAAACATCATTCATTCCTGATTTGGCAATGAAGACTTTTCCTTAGGCATGAAGTAAAATCCTAGTTATAATGTTTTTCCTCCACTGCAAATAAAGCTCTTCTGTGCATTTTTATATCAGAAAATACATTTGATGGATGATCAACCTCATTTTTGAAATATATTTATTTTTCTCCAGTATGCCAAAAATAGCTTTAAAGCTTAAGAGCATAACAAATCACATCTATTTCTTATTGGGAAAAAGGCTCTTGCATTATTGCATTTGTACACAATTGTCATCATTCAAAACTGCTTTTCCTCCTAGTGAACAACACTTCTCTTTATCCATGTGTTGGCCACTGGCAGAGCTGACGTTTTATTTGTTGGCTGATTTCCCATATGCAATGCCTTCATGTTTTGTTCCTTTTTTGACTGTGTAATAATCCACTGTATATTTTATTTGTGACCATACTAAGAGGAGGTTTTTGTAGTGCATTGTGATATAAAAAGATTTCATGGAAAGCAACATAAAGTAACTCTGTAAAAGCTATTTTCACCAACAAATTTTAAGTCACTTGATAAAATAATCGTGTTAGACTGAAATAAGGAAAATGTTAAAATACAAGCTTTCTTTCTATTTTTATATTAAAAATGTATGTTATACCTAAAACAGACACTTAAAATTACATAACCCTGAGGACATAGGAACTGGAGGAATTTGACTAGTTTTTTAAGGATTAGAGTTAAGATGGAGAGATAAACATAATGAAGATTAAACATTATGCCTCAGAACACTAATATATCAGATTGTTCTCAGTACCTTCCAATGTTTTGTCAGTTTGATAACATATTAGAAGGGTGAATATTCAGCGGCCTGTTAACTACTCTCTTTGCAAAGCTGACATTGGCTATGAGAGTTTACTTTG